TGTTTCAGGAGGCACGACGAGCAGCAGAGAAAGCATATGATTTAGCCAAAGTGGACGAGAGGGTGAACAAGGCGGTGGCAGCCGCCAACAGATCGGCCAATGCTGCCAGAGTTGGCGCGGTGAAGGCTGTGCAGAAACAACTGCCCAACAGGAGCAACTGTGATAACCATTCTAACATCTATCATCTATCAAACTGAACCGTTTTGAGGAACCCAATTGACACATTTTGCTTGCATTTTTACATGTCCTTAGAGAGAGAGAGAGAGAGAGCAGGCAGCTTATTGATACATAGTTTTTTTTTTGTTTAGTTTGGTAGATGAGTGCTAGCGCTAAGGGAATGCTGGCCTTGTATGTGTGTATTAACAACTATACTGATATGAAATCAAAGATCAAATATCTGTTTCCATAAGCTCATCTGAATGATTCAAGCACATGCATATTTTAAAGCATTAAAACTTTGCTTAAGATCCCATTTGCAATGTATTTTAACTAGTTATTAATACATCAGAACAATCCAGTGAATACTATTTGAAAGTTGGGTTTTAGACGTAAGATGTACGTAAATCTGATTTCTATTTCAACAAGGCAGAGTGACTGCTTCCATAAAATCTCGACTTGTATAAAAGTGCGAACGAACAACAAATGATTAATATTGTACCAAATTAAATTAACTTCATATTCGTTCTTGTTTTAAAACCCTATTTTGAGGACCAACTTTTAAAATGTTTCAGTTACAAAATTCATAATTCTAAAACAAGAACAAAAGAATTAAATGTTTTGGTTTAATTTAATTTTTTGAAAATTCGTAATATTTATTATATTCTTGCCGATAACCAGGGCCGTCCTTGGGGGAGGGCGAATCGGGGGTGCGTTTGGTATGCAGACTATATGGGATGAGACGGGATAAAAAAAAATAGTCTCATGTTTAGCATGCCATGGACAAAAATTACATGGGATAAGACGAGCTATTTTAAAATCTGATGGGAAAAAGTGTATGATTTTTGTTCCACAAAAAAAAAATGGAACAGATTACTACCTCCTTATCATCGTCTCTTTCACACCCACATTTCCACGACCAGAGCTCTTCCACATTGCCTCCTTCCACACCGCCTCCTTCCACCGCCTCCTTCCAGATCGGTATGATTTCTCTTTTGTCATCGATTTCTTTTTGCTGCGTCGATTTCATTATTGCGATTCTTTGCTGCGTCGATTTCTGATTTCTTTTTGACTGTAAACCCTAACAAAATCGATTCCACATCGTTCTTCTCTTGGATTCTTGACTGTAAACCCTAACAAAATCCTCTCACTAAGTCGTTTGAGTACCATTAAAAACCCACATGCATGTTCAAATTTCTGCGTAAAAAAGGAATTGATGGAGATGCCATAGTTGATTTTACCATAGTTGAGGAACTGGTCGTTTGAGTACCATTAGAATCTAGGTAACTATCATCTTGTAGAATGGAAATGCCATAGTTGATTTTATTGCCTCAAGAGTTAGTTCAAGATTGTGGGTAGAATATGTGTGATAGGAAACTGTCACCTGTATGTTTGCAATTTCATAAGTTTATTATCATGGCATTCCATATTTTAGTTGATTTGTTGTCATTTTACAATCATTATATGATAAAAAATAACATTGAACAACATTTAAGGGTAATATGGTCATTTTAACAGTTTTGTCCTGTCCTGACCTAGTTGTACCAAACATGGGACAGACAATTAGTCCCGTCCAGTCTAGTCTGCGTAACAAACACTTGAGACTTAAAATAGTATTTAGGCTCATAGTAAGTCTAGGTGGGTTTCTGTTATCGCTTCTGATCTCAAGGATCCCGTCACAGTCGATTTCACCTAGCTTCAAGAAATGGTACGCTCTTAGATACTTGATATCTGTATATGATAGCGTTTATGTATTATAATCTTTATGCTATTGTTTTATATGTTTGTCGATTGATTGGTTGATTCCATGGTTTTATGGTTCTTAATAGTTTGTATTAGGTTTTTTTTTGTTAACATTTGGGTTATTGGCGATGGAAGTTGTTGAAGATAAGATCAGATATTTCAGAAGGGTTTTCTTTTAACAATTTTGATTACTGGTTAAAATACATTGCGAATGGGATCTTAAGCTTAAGCAGAACAATGAAATGCACTAGCAGCTAGGAAAATGTGTGACGATTAGGCTCTTGGAACCAGTTGGTTTGACATATGATAGATGTTATTAGGATCATCACAGTTACTTCTGTTG